AATCACCCATATATATATATGAGAAATTTTTTTTCAGATGAAATTGAGCAAGATAAATTTTTACCTTACAAGAAAACTGAAATGATTACTACAGTAGGAAAAATTCCAAAGGCATTAACAAGAAATAACACACTAAATATTACCTAGGGAATATCATAACAGGAGATGCTCAGATGTTGGTAACCGGAAATAACATAATAAAAATCAAAAAGGACAAACACTTAAATGAAATTACAAACACGAAATCCCGGCATACATGTTAGCTTCGTCAGAGGGGCATTACCATGCTGTCAGAGCGGGAGCAGTTTCAGCCGTTGACGGTATATTACCGCCTGGCACCATACCCTCCACTGCTCTAAGAAAAACAAAAGAAACCAATAATTGAACTTAACTGTATTAAACATTTGGACACATGAGGCCATTTGCGGCTTTTTTCCCCATCGATCTTTTAGTTGAACTTTGTGGTGTTTGATGAGGAGGTCGAATGCAAATGAAGCAAAAGAGTATTCATGTGGATAGATGATTATGGAGTTCTGACTGTGCAGTTATATACAGTAGGGTGGTAAGACCATACTGTAAGAATATGAGGTATAACTTGAGATAAGCTGGTATGGTGAAAATGAGGTTATGTATATGCTTTTGATGTCTAGAATATGATGCATCACTGCAATGCTGCCGTTGGTCTGATGTTCTTGTCTTCAGTAAAATTTTTATATAGAAATATCTCATTGAAATTTGCTGCAGAGCAAGAGGTGATTACTTTACTGAATTTGATATTTAATTTAGCGATCTGTTTGTCTATAGCATCTATTTCGAGGTCGTGGTGTATTGTGTTGTTTCTTGCGAACCATCTGCTTAGTAATTTATTTCTTAACTTAGTATTTTATTCTGGCAGGTAATTAATTTGTTTAGCTGAGTCTGTGCTATGCTTGGCTAGACTGGTGAGACATATGTATGGATGGGGAGGATCACGTATAAATAGAGCAATCTTTTGAGCTTTAGAGACATGTTTGATTGATAGAGTGGTACCTGGAGTCTGCTGCATGCTGCTTGTGCTTTGCAGGTTATGATTTTGATGTGATCGCTCAAGTTGAATTTGCTATTAAGGATGAGTCCAAAGTACTTAGTTTTATCAACTATCGGTATTGTTTTATTGAATAGAATTAACTTGTTTTGTGATAGTATTTTTTCTTCTTTTATTTCCGATGATTAGAAATTGTGATGGCCGTTTACTTGAAATTTCCGCTCCAGGCACCATTTTTGAATAACTTGTATCTTTTTTGTAGTTCACTGAGGGCTGTGTTTGGATTTTACTATTATCCCGGTATCATCAGCATAGAGAGCAGTCATACCATTGTAGTCTTATCTGTTTATTGGAAAAGAGATTGTAAAGAATATGTAAGATTCCCCTAGAATACTGCAAAAGAAACCATCAGCAATTCAGATACTATACACCGTACACCGTAATCTTGAAAATTGAAGTGGAAGTGTATGAACTACCAGATGGGGAACAAATTTTTCGGATGAATTTAGAATGTTACAGGTCTGATTACCAAACAAGTATGACGGTTTGAGAACGTGTATAAAGATGCAGAACAAAAATTTCTACAAGATATAGACGAGAGAAAATATAATAAAAAATAATAACAATAATTCTTACAAAAATGTTCTGCACATATTCTTCCAGTTGTGGCATTAGCAACTATTGCAATCTCGCAACTTGGAATTATATCTTTTATACTTTTTCTCATTAATTTTCACTATTCTTTAATTTATTGCTTTTGTATCTTTATACACCGAAGAGCCATTACATTATGACCACCCTGCTAATAACATGTAGGACAACCTTTAGCCCTCAAAACAGCTAGCACCCGCCTTGGCATTGATTGCACAAGGTGCTGATAGGTAGTCAGAGGTATCCGGTACCAAGCGCTCACCAACTGGTCCTGCAATTACCTCGCATTGCGAGGGGGTAGCGTGGCAGCACGAATCTGGTTTTCCAAGTAGGACAACACATGTTCTATTGGATTAAGGTCAGGTGAATTTGGGGGCCAAGACATGACTTGAAAGTTACTGGAATGTTCCTCGAACCAATCCATGACGATTCGACCCTTATGACATGGTGCATTATCCTGTTGGTAAACACCATCCCCCGCGGGAAAAACTGTTTCCATGAATGGTTGAACCTGGTCTGCAACTATGTTCAAGTAGCTTACAGACGTCAGGGATTGTTCTATGAGGATTATGGGTCTTAATATGCCCCATGAAAGCATTGTTCCTGGGCGAGAAATAATGAAAACCTGGGCGAACCCTTTGTTATAGATGGAGGGTGGTCATAATGTAATCACTTTTCTGTGTAGATATTTATAAACAGGAATTATGTGGTATGAGGCAATTGGCTTCAAGACAAAATCAGCCCCATTTGATCAGAAGTTTAAAAACATAAATAAAAATGAATAATTAATTATAAATATATTTCATCAACAGAAATTAACAAACATCATTCTATTTAATTTGAAAATGTAATTCTCTATTTATACTCCATATTCTATTTTATTGAGATTTTTATTAACTCCCTTTCATTGTATTATCAGAAATGAAATAAGATGTAGGTTTCGAGACGTATGATAATTTTCTTGAACTTCAGCAAGTTTAGATTTTTTGTGTATCAAAATAAAGTAGCTTAGAAAGATTTTTTAACAAAATATTTTTTTTAAAACTTACCTAAGTATATTTATTATATATACTGATTTTTCATTAATTTCATATTCTTTAAATTATATACTAACTCATGGTAAATTTTGATATTTACTCGCTTGTCTTATAAATTGAGACTTTTAGATAGCTTGAACATTTGAGAAAAATAAAGATACTATGTAAATAAAAAAATTCAACAAACAATGAGAACATTATACTTTATGTGTGATTCCTGGCTTCTGGTAGAGTAACTTTCTACTTTTTAGCATAGAAGTGTAATCTAAGAAACTTTTGCTTAGTGCATTTATTTATAAATCTTTAACTGTCGATAAATTGCTAACTGATCGATTTGACTAAAAATATCGAAACAAAATCTTTCTCTAAAACTTCTATAAAATGCCGCCAACGTGTTTAGATCCGTTGATATTTGTTTCCGATAATTTTTGCCCCTCGAGTGGTTTATACAGTAAATTTTAATCGATATACATACCAGAAAATATCTGTCAGCCTACTATCGGATTCCAGTTTAGGAGTTTTATGATTCATACGTATTATCTTCATCGTCTTTACATACTTTTAGAGTTGGAAAATTGGAAGAACTTCTAAGCATGCTTTGCTTACCCTTTTTAAATAAATGCTTGTTTGATTGATTACCAATTTTTCTCTTCACCTCGGGCATTTATCTTACACTTAAGTGTTTCCTCCTCTGTCTAATATTGAAAAGCTGTGAGAGTAACGCTAAGTTTTAATTTTTACTTGTTCTATTGTTGTCTTTTGAGGAACATTCTTTCAAAGATCCAAAATAAAGAAAATGTAAAAGCATGATACTCGTTTTAAATGAGTTATCGATTAAACAGAAATCATCCTTAAGAACAACTTTTCATACATAATTTTCAGTAATGTCTAATATGGTTTAAA